ATACTCTACGGCTGACGTGATAGGACAAAGCATTGGCAAGTCCTAAATTATTGTCTATAGCTACTGATAGCCAAATACTGTATTTTCTGCACAAGTCTTCGCGGAGATGTTTTAGATTTTCAAACTTTCTATCATTCATTCCCGGAAAACTTGAAATTCTTAAAGAGATTGCGACTGCAAAAAAATCACTTCCAAAATTTTATCGCACGTGGGCCTTTTTACTTTAATTTTATATGCTGCTGATGTTTATGGTTAATTAATATTTAATGTCATATTTAACATTTAACTGTAAGCTTGTACATATAGCGAAAAAGCCGGCCAGGGCTCGAACCCGCACCGTTCGCCCCGGGGACGAGCGCATTCAGCCATGCCTCCCAAAGTAATTATATAAAAAAAAATTAGACAATATGGAAATTTGAAATAATTCTTCGCGGAAGAAAAAAACTTCCCGAGTGAAACCCTCGACCATGATTTTTGTCGAAGTTTCGGTTAAAACCCACTGTCAAAGCTATCGATGGATCGAATTATACCACCACTTTTGTTGCATACCAAGTAGTCTTAAATTTGCTGATAACACAATATGACTAGAGCTAGCAGCGACTACGCACTACAAATGTAGCAATGGCCTCCTTTACTCGAAAACCAGCATGCTCCTTACTCTTTACTCCTGCAGCATACCTTTGCTCCTTTCAAGATTCTGTTGCGACTTAAGTCTGGTTCTCATATGCCGCCGACCTACCTGCGACGTAGTCGCCGGTTGCAAGTGACAACGTTCGGCGATCTGTTCCAGTGGTTCCCCGGCGCATCTGCGATGGATCGCCGACGTACTCAAATTGGCATGAAATGCAAATCGAATTGGCGCAATTTTCGACCATTTCATCTGTAAAGAATGGGATTGTGGGGAAAAAATCGAGTTGTTACGTCATACGTTGCGTCCGTCGATGGTCCAGATGATGTTCTTATAAAATATTTTCATCGCCGACAATCGCCGACAACCGCCGGCTTGCCTGCGAAGTTGAACTCATCTCAACTTCGCAGGCAAGCCGGCGGTAAATGCCTGGGACAGATTATAATTCGGCGATAAATGTTCGCATATGCCGTAGTGGTGTCCCATGCCATGATGTCCCAGGTAGGTCGGCGGCATACGAGAACCTGATTTTTCAACGCCGGAAACATGACCAGGAAACCATTTTGTTTACTACCAGGGCCGGCTCCCAAGGGACGTCAAAATGGCCGTTCATCCCTTCCTCTTCCCTGTTTCCTTTTCTCGTTTTTTCTCTTTTCCTTCGATTTCCTTCCGTTTCCTTCGTTTCCCGTTCCGCTGGACAAGAGTAACGCGGGCTCTGCGAAGGAGCTTGTCGGCGCGGCATTCGGGAGTTTACGAAACCACGACGGCAACGGCAACGGGAACGCCACTGAGCAAAAGAATTAATGAGCAGTACAATGGCTGTGCACGTGCGTTATGATTCTTGGTACATTTCTGTGCCGTCCTCTGCAAGGCCAATTAACGTGAAATGTCCAAATTTTGCGTTGTCTGGAGAACGTGAACCACTACGGCTAATTTTTTAA